CAACTTGAAGATCTCCAGTTGATTCGTAAGCTGATATTTTCTCTGAACCTGCCAGGTCAATAAGGTTCAAGGAACCCGATAGTTTCTCATTTGTAACAGAATTAGAACCTTTGATATGAATCATAAATATGCTGTGACTTCTTGAAGAATTATCGTTCATTTTTGTAGAAGCAACAGTTCGGTTCTTTGTTGCGAATCTAAGTACTTGATTAACACAATCTGGTGATTCAAGGTTCACTAAATAATAATAATAATAAAATTATTTATCATCATCACCATCATCATTATTTTAAATGACTCTTCTTTCTTTTTTACCTGTTTTCACATTAGCAATCCTTGTTGAACCCTCTTCAATGTCATGTGTTATCTTCACATCTTTGGATTCTCCATGTGAGATAAGCAAATCATAGATTTGATCATTATATATTTCGATGAATTGACCTTCGATAGTATAATTCCACCCCTGAAAATTCAATTTGTTGATGAGGCCAAAGATGTGTGTGAACGCTCTTGTGATCATACCCTCACTTTCCGGAGTATCATCAGAACCTTGCATTGTGTAAGTTTTCCCCGCACCTGTTTGACCATAAGCAAAAATGCAACAATTGTACCCATCGACCACCGATTGGACAACGTCAGCAGCGACCTCAGCGTATACTTGTCCTTGAGTGCTATCAGGTTTGAAAACATGATCAAATTTGTATTCCTTGAAAATATTTTTCTTTTTGTTTAGGTAATCTTTCACAACAGAACCAATCATGATTTTTTTGCTTTCACATTCCCCTGGGTACTTGATCTCAATAAGAGGGACATCTTTCTCAGCAGGAGTTTGTGGACGAACTCTGCAAAAAACGCGAATTTTTCCTTTTATATCTTGAATGGCGTTGTGTAGGCGGTGACGAGTGTTTTCATTTTTAAAAAATTCTGTGTTCAAATCTTTGATAAACATTTTTTCTTTTTTAATTTTCTCCCCAATTACGATCGATTCCCTAGCCATAGATTCTTCAGCCTCTTTGAGACTAGTCAGTTCGTTGCGATCTTTTTTGATTCTATCATTTAATATCTCCAATTCCTGATATTTCTTCGTGATCTGCGAATCAAGATTTGCAATTTTTTCTTTAGTGGTTAAAAAATTACTTTTTACTTCACAGCTTTTTTCTGATAATTCCACCATTCCAACTTTTTTCTCCTCAATTTCGATCCTAAGCCTTTTATTCTCTTTTATACATGTTTCAAGCTGGGTAATTAGGTCGTTGTTGGTAGTGATAGTTCTGATAAAAGTCGAAATCTTAGTAAACTAAAACATTTATTTCTTAAATGATAACTAAAGTAACGACGAGTGGCAGGCGATAAACACTACCACCATCCTTATTCTTAAAACACTTACCCAGTGATATTTTTTTCTTTATCGCTTTTGTTTCTTTTTTTCGTGTTTTTAAATCTGTCTGACATTTTGTTTTTAAAGGATAAAAAAAAGTTTTGTTATTTGATCGACATGTACACACTAATTATTTATCCTATTGGTTTTTTTTTTTTTTTTTGGTAGGACAGACGCGAATTGATTTTTTTTTGGAAAAACAATTTATTTTTTGACAGAGTCCAAGGTGACAAAATGCGAATCTTCTAAAGAAGGCGTGTTAAGAACTAACCAGAGGTACCATTTTTTATTTGTATTGATTGATATTTTTTATTTTAGTTTATAAATATATATTATTGGAAATCAAAACGCGGAGCAGATCTTGCTGGTGTAATACAGATTCTTATCAAGATTGTGTATTTTGCTTTTCGTAATCCATAATATTATTATATTATTATAATTACAAGAAGTCAAGGCAGCACATTGTTGAAAAAGAAATATTTCAAGTATGCAACGTTTGATTATCAGAAATTTTAGAGACGTTGAAGCACGCATGCTACCTCGAACACTTAAAGTCATTCTCTCACCTTCCTCGTGTACAAAAGGCTAATCTGACCTGATGGATCGATGATACAATGATGCTACCACATTCCAGGGGTAATACGTGGCCCTGGAGTTTACCGAGACTGCATCAATTGTCAATGACGCTTTCACTAATCTTCCCTCACAGCATCCAGACCAGAGAAGGCCGCTGGCATGCTGGCCGAAAAGTCAACTGCAATGATCCCACCTCTAGGGCAAGGATGGCACTGTGATCAAGTCGCAACTCTGCTGATGAATATTAAGAAAATCTGCAACTTGCTCAAGCACAGGAAGTCGCAATTCAGAGCAGGGTTGGTGGCCATTGAAATTGCATTTGGAACTCTGATGTTAAGAGGGAAGTTGTAAAATAGTGTTTTTTATAATCATTTTTGTAAATTCTCTGTTTAACCAATTTATAATTTTGGGTAGGGGACTGGATTGGGTTTTTGCCCAATCAGTCCTCTGTCCTGTAGGTTAAAATT